GAGAGAGAGAGAGAGAGAGAGTCCCTAACCCTGTCCTTGACATGTATACCCTTTGTAGACAGGGATGCTACAGTAGGATAGAAAGCAAAGAAAAGAATTAAAAGGATGTGAGAAAGAAAAGAGCCCCTCACTGCAATCCCAGTCTGGTTTAAATGATTCCTGTGTTTAGAGTCAAGAATTTAGAACTGATCAAAACCCTGCCTGCCTGCAAAGCTAACCAAACCACCACAAGAACTTTTTTTTTTTTTTTTTTTTTTTTGTTTTTCGAGACAGGGTTTCTCTGTAGTTTTGGAGCCTGTCGGTAGACCAGGATGGCCTTGAACTCACAGAGATCCGCCTGCCTCTGCCTTCCACATACTGTGATTAAAGGAGTGTACCACTTTACCCTGTGCCAGAACCTGTTGTTTTAAATTTGATCTTTGACCCATGGGTTTCACATATAAAGCTCCTGTCTGGTAGACAAGAATATCTCTTCTTCCAATCAGGTGATCTTGGTGGGCTCCAAGTCTCAGGATGGGTTTAGAAGTGATAAGAGAAGAACTTCTAGCTCCCATACCTGTACTGTACTAGGGGTAGAGGGTAGAGGGTAGAGGGTGAGCCAACCACTGGTGGCCTATGACTTATCAATCACAGTTACTTAATGAAACCTCCCTGCGAGCCCAACAGGACAGGGTTGTAAGGAATCCAGGTTTTTGGACATGCAGTGTTGCCTGGAGAGGACACTGCAGTTCTGTGTCCCTTCTCAGACCACCCCCTATGTATCTCTTTACCTGACTGGTTGTCTATATCCATTGTACCCTTTGTAAGGGCCATTGTAATAAATCAGCAAGCCATCTTAGCAAATTGATAGAATTCAAGATAGGAATTGTAGGAACCCAAGATACAACAGGTCAAAAGCACACATGACAATTTAATCCTTGGAACTGGCTCCTAAATGGGGAAGAAAGAGTTGTGGGACTGAGTTCTGAGCTTGTAGGATCTGACACTAACTCCATGTAGACAATGTCAGAAACAAACTGAAATGGAGGACAGCCAGTCAGTGTCTGCTGGAGAACTCCTTGGTTATGGGAAATCCCTCCACCCACCATATTCGATGACCTGGGTAAATGATACTGAATATGAGAGTAAAGAAGGAATTTAATTTTCATTTCTATGAGACCAGACAAGAGAGGGGTGAGTGGAGAGAGCAGAAGTGAATAGGAATGAGGATTCTAAGCATGGACTAATCTGAAAATACTCTCTGGTCATGGTAAGCAGGGCTGCCTTTACTTTACAGGCCACTGAGGATAGCCACGTGCCAGATGGGGGAATGTGTGAAGTCACTAAGGAAGGAGC